CAGTAGCTAACGCCGGAGTGGAATCCAAAACTTTCGTTACAGACAATCCACTTACTGCAGTCTCCAAAGTGGAAATTCTTCCGGACAAGGAGCAGGTGAGTAAAATAGGTGTAGTTGCTCTATGTCATACTGTTCACCAACGCATGCTTATACTTGTTTTGCCGTAGGTCACCGGACTTGGAAAATTCCTAGGCGAGGAAGTCGGATTCTGGACAGGAAAGATCAAACGCAGCAGTCAGGGTAAGGACACACATGTTAGCGTCTGTCAAACCTGTTAGCGTCTATCAAACATATTTAGCGTTCATCACATGTGTTAGTGTCCATAGATCAATGTTAGTGTTTGTAGCACAATGTTAGCGTCTGTAGCAATGTTAACATCTGTAGCACAATGTTAGCGTCCACCGCACAATGTTAGCGTCTAGCAAATCTGTTAATGTCTGTCAAACCTGTTAGCGTCTATCAAACTTATTTAGCGTCCATCACATGTGTTAGCGTCCATAGCACAATGTTAGCGTCTGTACCATAATGTTAGCGTCTGTAGCACAATGTTAGCGTCCATAGCACAATGTTAGCGTCTACCGCACAATGTTAGTGTCCACCGCAAAGCAAACCAGCAAACCAAAGTTGTACGGATTGTCTCCAGTATGGAGATGATCGAGAAATCCCTCGTCATTGTTAGAACATTGTTGAGGGGCCCTGATACATTGCTGCTCATTACGTTGTACGCTCGCCAACAAAGTGGGACCTTTTCCAATGCTCAAATCCCATGTCTTCTAGATACGTTGCGCATTTGATGTCTGCCTCTTTTATCTGATTGAAAATACTGTCGAACTCACCCAACCGGAAAGACCTGGCAGCTCGAGAGACGAGTTGGGGCAGATGCAGAGCCTTGAAGAGTGTCTGAATGTTCCGTTGAAGGTGGACAATGCAAACTCCGTGGGAGGCCATTGGATAAACCTGGTAGAAAATTTAGATACTTTAGCGATACTATTTACGTTATCATGTAACATTAATGTTGTCGCGGTAATCACCCTAATAGCATACCTTCCGGATCCCAGAGTATATTGATGCGTGTTGGTCTAATACGAAAACCAGCTGTAGGTCGTCGGGGACAATGGCTGAGAGCTTTCCTAGAAACCACCCCCAGGAGTCGTCGTTTTCACTGTTGACTATACCAAAGGCCAGAGGAAATAACTGGAAGTTACCGTCCTGAGCGCTTGCAGCTACAAGGCAGCCGCCATACCGACCTTGGAGATATGTCCCGTCGATAACTATCACCTTACGCATGTACTGGAACCCCTCAACGCACGCCGCAAACAAAAAAAAAAAGATATTTGAAACGCTCGACACCCCCTACACCGATCTCTGTCTCTAGCGCTACATTGAACCCCGGATTTGCTTACAAAATTCGTTGGAAGTAGGGAGATATTAACGTGAAGCTCCCCATAGAATACCCCATTGCTTTGCCCAGGGCGATCTCCCTTGCCCTCCATGCCTTCCAGTAGCTTACGTGAAGGCTAAACTCTTGGCGCAATATTCGCTGCAGTTCAAAAGTCCGTGGTCCCCTTCTTTTGCTACTATATTTAGAACGGACAAGGTTCCCGATGACTTCACACGAAGCCTGGATGTGATAGTTACCCCTCGCATTCACGTCATAAGTATGTTGAAGCACCACGCTCCTCACCTCGTACCGGCAGGTGTCGTCCATCTTCGTTGTGTACACTCGCCAAGGGCATCCTTCGCCAACGCACTCCACGAGGACAATATCTGGTTTTGACTTGATGTAGTGGAAATGAAATTTCCGGTTTATAGCGTGAATTACCAATTTCATCTTGCAGTCCGCCTTTCTTTTAAAGATACGACCGTCGTAGATATCTTCGCCTTCGTAGTCCATGTCTCACAATGCCCCTGTCGAGCTCATCTGCTAAGAGTATTATCAATAATTGTATTAGCAGACGGTTGGAGCAGTTAACATCATGCTAACATGATATGGCGCTTCTTACCTTCTTCTATCGGATTGTCAAAATACGGTGGTGCATTACGGGCATGGAGCATTGGTACAATGCGCACCTCACCTCTATCACGCAGGCACCCCTCGTTTGCGTCATACTGTCACATCTTTCGACCACCGGCGTTTTACCTAAACCCTTTCCTCTCTCGGTGCCCGCATATCCGCCCCACACCCCAAGCTAAGGTCGATACCTTTCCCTTTGTCCACTACCGGTGTTTTCTCGCACTCAAATTCCACAGAAGGGAGCGGCGTCCTGCGTTGTGGCTCTACATCTGTTACATCCATTTCAGTTGGTTCCATTGAGTCCCCTGCAAGACAACCGCTACCCAATGTTAACGATACATAACGTTGACAGTAACAATAACTTATTACCCTTAATGTTAATACAGAGGCTAACCAACCTGTTAGCGATTTATATAGATTGTTACACTTTATCCCTGGGATCTCCCACTCATCCGAGTTTTCATAATCCGTTGAAGGGCCGCCGTTCGGTGTGGAGGTAGAATCGGTAGAGTTAATCATAAGTACTTTAACCTCGTTGGCTCGCCGGGCCGCAGCACCCGACACTCAATGTACACACCAGCTAGACTAAGTTATAGCTCAATGTCGAGATTTCATGGTTCGATCTGGCGTCGTTTATCGTGTTAATTCGCAGTCAGGGAAAACAAACTGTTGTTGGCAGTTTCCGAGTTGAAGAACTGCCATAATTCACTCAAGTCTCGTGGTTGACTCCCGTCGACTGCATGGGTATTAAATAAAACAGATCACGGGGCTGGCTTACATAACACTTCGATTCATAGTACATGTACTAACCAAGATCTCCCAGGGGGTTGTTTTACAGTTTGTACTGCAGCACATCGGAAGACGGCTCAAGAAAATATCCCGCCAGGATGCGTTCTCGGGGTTCTGAACCCAGGCGTTTGTTCGGAACGAATACTCCTCCACCTCGACACGTGGCTGCTTGCTCGAATCTGAAGTTAAGTCAGCGAATTTAATCAGCTATTCTTTTTGGTTTTGTTAAATCAATGCCAACGTCATTGTTACCAGATAAGTTACCTCTTCGGAGTACTACACCGGAAGTACGGAAAAGCTCCGTCGGAATGTTAGACGGTCCTGGCCGACTCGCTAGAGGCCTTTTGTCCCATCCATCTACAAAGACCGCATTTATGTTAGCTGATATAGTCTGTATATGTTACTGTGCCAAATTTTTACTTACCGCTAATAGGTCCCCAGACTCTATTTGCCGTGGGGGATAGTGGATCCATTATTCTTGCGTTAACTTATGAATTAGATGTGCAAAGAAGAAAACATATCATGAGTACTTCAGAACTTCTCTGTACTTTATACCTGACCATATAATCCCTCCGTTGCTTACTGGTATGTAGTATCCGGTTTGCGGGCCCTGGGGGCAGTATGTTGCTAGTGGTCACGGTGACGCATAGGGGAATTGGCTTGCCTGAAGGGACGCAGCTCCGGCAACACGGGTAGCAGGCATGGCCGTTGAGCATACACTAACTCTATTATCGCTAACAGTTAGCTATCTCAGGCTTGATAACGTTAATTCGTAGGAACACTTTGGAAAGGTCAGCTCTTATCGCCATAAACAATCTAACGCCTTCGTCGTCCGAGATTCGAATGGGCGGTGCTCACCTCCACTCTGGACCCAGCATCCAGTGTGGCTACTGGTAACTCAACTCTATTTTCTCATGACGTTGCAGGCGCAATTTCTCGCTCACAACATGTTGCATTGCGATGAAATCTACATGCTCGCTGAGAGTGATGCGTGGTTCAGGGTGGTTCTATCCGGCTCATGGTCCCATCATCCTTCCTCAGCCCTGATCCATTCTCCGCAGACCACTCCCACCGAATGCGTCATTTCCAATTTGGTGAGATTCATGTTAGCATTGTAACTTACACCACGGTAACAGCATCAATTCCAGAAATCTCTTTAATTTATATTTTGTTACCTGTTTGGACCGGTAGTTATTGCAGGATGAATAATCTTGCTTAGCGATGAAAGCAACTGATGAGTCAACTATCCTTTTTGGAAAGAAGAAAAGAAACTGAAAAGTCTACCAGTTGCTACAATGTTAAATAGTCCTCTGAATCCGTAGATATTTTCATCCAACAAGTTTATATTTTTTTATATTGTTCTTACCTTTATCGGGCTTATTACCTAAACAGTTTCTTCAACATTACTTCACATTTAATGTTCTCCAATATCCACCATCGATTATAGTAAATATGAGTATTATTAAAACGATATGCAGATATATTATGTTTTCACCAATATCGATTATCTGATCCAAATATTTTATTTCCAAGTTAATCTGGATCATTTCTTAAATTCTTCTTTTTTTCAAATAAAAAAATGTTACAAACTAAAGAAACTACCCCATATAAGAGTTAATTATAATTTTCTTTTAATTATTACAATATATGACTTAATTTCTCAATATAAAAATGATTAGCCGCTTCGATTTTCCCCTTCTTCTTGGTCTCAGACTCAACACATATTTTATTGCAACTGGTGCTCAGGGGAAGGCGTCCCATCCAGATTTCGGCCAAAACTTTCCAAAATCGCTTTACACGGTAAGAGACGATTAAAATCTGATTAAGCTTTTGAAAGAGTATAAGATATTTGCTTTCTAGAAGTGAATGATTGATAATTTTGCGAACGATTTGTTGGGTGAAGGAATCATTTTCTTTTTAGCACCAATTCATGGTTTTTAATAACCTGTTAGTTTTTTTTTTTGGATCATTGGATCTTATGCCTAGTTGAATCAAATCTTGACAGTGCAAAAATTAGATTTTTACCTTTTCAAGATACTAAAAGAAAAAGATTTATGTTGGCTTTCCGTTGCTGGGCTCTGCATTTCATTTTCATTAAATGTAATGGCTGTTTCCTCTGGTAAATTCGGTTGCTTTAAAGATTTGCAGGTTGGCTCTGCGTGCATCTTTGAGCGCATGAACTGATTGAGAAGAAGTCATGCTTCCTAACGCAATGACGCAGTCAGATACCAATGTAAATACCATTGATTCGATGATCGCAACTGTGAGTCAGCTGTATAAAGATATTCAACTCCAGGATGCATATCAAGATACTGACGAAGCTGCCATGGAGGAACATACCCCGGTGCTAACCTCTAAGAGCATTGGTGCTGTAACCCTGGAGGAGATAACTTCAGAGCAACCAACCATTGGGGCAGGCGAAGGAACTGGTTTTGAAAGAACCAGAAGTGCGCCTCCTCGGAGCCTCCCTCGCCCTGTGAATCAGATTCGCAAGCTTCAGCGTGTTCTTCGCGGGCTGAAGCGCAATCTAAACCATATGAAGAGCCTTCAGTCAGACGTCGAGAGGGAGCTGAATTACCGATCTCGTTCACTTTCGCTGGTGGCTAAAGATGCGGAACCCTCTAGGAGTTTGCATACGAGTTTAACCGACTGCCTCGAGAAAGACTTGGAGAATATCACCAACAAGTTGTTGGACTTGATGAACAAGGTCCCCGTGCCGCCTGAGAAGCAGAAGAATAAGAAAGCATCACCAGATCATCAGGATGGTGATGGGGACAATGACGGCAAAGTCATTGCTTGCTTGCCAGGCATCCATGCAAACGAAGAAGATCTCAAAAGGCTCGCGGTTTTCAGAGATGTTCAAGGCAAATTCACGGGGCTTAGTACTGAACGCCAGATCTGCCTGCTGAGCTTCGGTGTGTTCCCGGAGAATCAAGAGGTTAATAGAACGATGCTGATGTATTGGTGGATCGGTGAGGACATTCTGCCTCGTGAAGCCAAACCCGAAGACGCTGTGAAAGACATTCTCAAGGAGTTCATGGAGAAAAAGCTGATCGAGCCTGTGGAAAACAAACGCAAAGTGGAGCCAAATAGCTATAAGATGACACCTTTTGTGCATTCTTCAGTGGTGCTCATCTCAGAGGAGATTGGACTTTTCAATATGTACCAAAAGGCGACGAAGCCAAAGATGAAGAAATCAGACTTGAACAAAGTATGCCTTGTACAAGAGTCGTCAAGCCAGCCGGAAGCAAAAGGTAGAAGAATGAAACCAGAAAACATGGAAACAGTGTTCAATGTCTCGGAGAAGTTCCCAGAATTCACATGCAAGTGGTTCACAAGTATGACGAAGCTTAAAGTTCTTTATCTGGGTAGGTGGGAGAGAACCGAGCGCGAGATCGAAATAGATAGCCGTCGAGTTATGAAAGATTTGAGTTCCCTGAAGAGGCTAAGGTTTTTGAGTTTGCAAGGCATCTCAGCCATTAAAAGCCTTAGCCGCTCTGCTTGCAAGCTCAGCGAGTTGATTGTCTTGGACTTCAGGGATTGCTATAACCTGGAGAAACTTCCAGATGACATACATAAGCTCAAGAATCTAATCTACTTGGATTTGACTGGCTGCGACGCTTTAGAGAGGATTCCCGTGCGACTGTCTTGGCTAGACAATCTGGAGGTCCTCAAGGGCTTTGTGGTCAGCGATTTTCAGACAGAGATCACCTGTGAACTGGGAGCTCTGGTGCACTTAACGAAGCTGAGAAAGCTTAGCATTACTGTAGACCGAGGGGGTTTTGGCTTAAATGACTTGATAAAGGCTACAGGAGATTTTAAGAGTCTGGAAATCTTGAAAGTGCGGTGGGGAAGCAGAATCCCCCCAGTGAGAGAGCGAAAGCCGGAAGGCAATATAGTAAGATTTATGCGCTCCGTGACCTCCATAGATAGCAGGAACCCGATGAAGAACCTGATAGAGCGTCATAGACATTATCTTCCCAGAAACTTAAGGAAGTTAGACCTGCAGCGTGTTCCGGAATGTGAACTTCCGGGATTGCTCCAGCCTCATAATCTAAAAGACCTTGAAGAGCTCCACCTTCGAAGTTGGATAAGCCTGGAAGGATTTGGGGACTTACCAGAAAAGCCAACTGAATGTGGTGTTAAAGTTTTACGTCTCAAGTCCCTGCCAAAGCTAAAAGTGGAATGGAGAGAGCTGACACAACTCTACTTTCCAAAACTGGGATTCCTGGAGAGCTATGAGTGTCCCAGAGTTACATTCTGCCCTTGTGACCGAGACGGAATCTGGAGATCTCATGAACGCTGATTCAAGAACGACTCTTTTTGGATCTCAATCTGATGTTCGAAACTCCCCTTTTGATTCTGTTTCAAACTCTGTGCGACTGTGTTTGTATCATGATTGTTCTCTTCCTTTTTGGCTGGATTCAATTTTTTTTTCTTACACAAAACTTAACATGATGAAACTGAAACTAATATGTGAAATGGATTCTGCCGAGTCAGGTAGGCATTTTTTTTTTTCAGATTAGGAGGTGTCTCATGACAAAAGTGAAGCTTATGCTTCCTGCAAGAACCTTAAAATGCTCAAGGCAGGTTCTTATTTACCGCTAAGATGTATCAAGTAATCAAAATTTAAGGATACAATCACACTGTTTTTGTTTGTTATGTAGCATTCAATAACAAAACTAACTAATCTTTCTTATGTGATGTATTCTCAAATAGAAAAATCAAAAGGAGAAGAAAGAATTTGTTTTTTTTTTTTGTTACTAAAATGAATGAGAAAGAGATAGCAAGTCTCTAATATTTTTTTTTAAAAAGCCATAAAGCTCCATCAAAATGAGCAATAAAGGAGAACGAGAGATGTTTACAGATTTCACCATATTAGAAAAGAAAAAAGAAAGAAAAGACCATAATATGAGTTAACTTTACAAGCTTGCTCATACCAAAACAATCAAAAACCTTTACAAACTTACTGTCTGTCGTGCATCGTGCATATCCCGATCATAAAAAAATAATAAAACCGGGAAAATGCATTACAGTATATTATTTGAATGGACTTCCCTAGACAAATAACAAAAAGTCTTTGCCTCGAAGGCCGCACTCTTAGCAAATAGATACATTACATAGTCAGATTAACAAATCAACCTGCATATATAAATTAATCGCCAACATGATCGAAAATCAATTTAGATATAATTTTAAACTCAGTACTCAGGAATATTTACAGTAGTGAAAAGAAAAAAAACGAAAGAAAACAGGCAACAATCATAATTCTCAGACAATAATGAGGGATTGTTCCCAATCTATTGATAATTTTTACACCTGAGTGAAGGGAAGTGAACATGGGTGAGGCAATACCCAAGGGAGTGAAGGATCTGTGGGAAGCATGGAACATCCGCGGCCTGGTGATTCTAAGTCTTGCCCTTCAGACAATCCTGGTTCTTCTCTCACCCAACAGAAAACGAACTCACCGGCGGTTTTTCCGGTTACTCATTTGGTCGGCTTACCTTTTAGCAAACTGGGCAGCAGAGTATGCCGTGGGACAGATCTCAGAGAACCAAGGAGACGAACCACAACCCAAGAACAACGATCTTTTAGTTTTTTGGTCAACGTTTCTTCTCTTGCACCTCGGTGGTCCTGACACCATCACGGCTCTTGCTCTTGAGGACAATGACCTCTGGCTCAGGAACTTGTTCGGTCTTGTTTGTCAAGCGACGATTACTCTCTATGTCTTCTTGCTCTCAATACCCAACAATCTATTGGTACCAACATCGCTCATGTTGGTGGCCGGATTCATCAAGTATGTTGAGAGGATCAAAGCGTTGCGTGGAGCGAGTCTTGAAACCTTCAAGGATTCGATGCTCGGGGAGCCTGATCCTGGACCAGATTACGCAAGGATCATGGAGGAGTATTCAACTAGGAAGATGCATAGAGAGCCTACCCCGATTGTTAGGATCGAGGAGGCCGAGAAAGGTCAACGACCCAAGGTTTTAGTGAGGCCACCTACAGAGTTGACCCATCTCGAGGCTGTCCAATACGCTTACAAGTACTTCAACATCTTCAAAGGTCTTGTGGTTGATCTCATCTTTAGCTCTCAGTCAGAGCAGTGGAGCAGCAGCAAAGAGTTCTTCCTCCAATCAACACCAGTGGAAGCTCTGAGGGTTTTAGAGGTGGAGCTCAGCTTCATCTACGGCACCTTCTACACAAAAGTTGACATCCTGCACACTCGAATCGGAGTTGCTTTCCGCTTTATTGCCCTGGCATCCCTTGTGTCATCCCTCTGCATTTTTGCAACGATGAAGAAATTTGATTACAAGAGTTTTGATGTAGCCCTAACTTACGCCTTGCTCGTAGGTGGCATAGCACTTGATTTTGTTGCCATTTTCATCTTCTGTGTCTCCGACTGGACATTTGCCAGATTTAAGAAGCCCAAGGAGGATGTGGAAGATGAGGACACCTGGGTCGACGATGTTCTTAACTGGCTCCTTAGTTTCAGGAAGCTGAACTGGAAGCCCTACGATTGTTTTCGAAGCGAGGATTGCTGCCACGAGCACTCTGTGCTTGACAGAAAATTTATATTTCGCAGATGGTCTGAATACATATATGCCTACAACCTGATAGAGTACTCTTTGGAACTAAAGCGTAACAGTGTCAACGATACCAAGGGCTGCATTCACAGTTTCTTCGACGCTTTCGTTCAGTATTTGTGTATTGACCGTGTCGTTTGTTGTTCCATCCGAGTGATCGGCTTCTGTGTCGGGAGCATGAAACGTTGGGCTTATCAAGTTCGCAGTAGGTTGAACAGTTTCATCACTCTATCATCCAGGAGGAACCGGGGGCTATATTACGTTCTTTACCCTTTGAAGCTGTTTCTTAGATTCTGGTTTGGAGTCCCAGTGATCAACTATGCCTGGGACTTCTTCGGCATTTCAGAGCAGCTCAACCAGGTGATGTACACATCACGTAACCGCATCACGAAAGAGACGTGGGAGTTGGTCTTTAAAGAGGTAAAGCGAAGATCTGAAGCTGTTGATGGGGCAGAGAGTGGTAATGGGGTTTATTCTACAAGAGGTGAGTGGGTGCTGGGCGAGGCATCACTAGCGAAAGCTACAAGTGAAGCAATCCGCATGAAACTGCTGCGCTATGTGACTCAAGTAGACTATGATCAGAGCATTCTCATGTGGCATATCGCCACTGAACTCTTATACCACACAGAGAAAGTCACTGCAGAGAATCACAGGGACCGCAAGTGCAGCAAGATCCTTTCAGACTACATGATGTACCTCTTGATCGTGCAGCCTGCTCTCATGTCAACAGTCGCGGGGATCGATAAGATAAGATTCATGGAGGCTATCGCAGAAGCTAAGAACTTTCCAGAGGTTAAAAAGTTCGTGCACAAGAACCGCCTTTGGGGTTCAGACCTGAAGCTGGTCTGCGAAGAGATTTTATATTCCCTCGAAAAGGAAAACCAAGGCAAGAGATACCAACGCAGGAACGTGCTAGCTGATGCAACTAGACTGGCAAATGCGCTTAAGCAACTAAGCAAAGAAGGAGAAGAAGAGGTGATGTGGGAGGTAGCGAGCAAAGTTTGGGTGGAGATGCTTTGCTATGGAGCAACTCACTGTGACCCGAAACAACATGTAGCACTACTGAGCAGCGGAGGTGAGTTCCTTAGCTTTGTTTGGCTATTGATGGCTCATTTTGGTCTTGGTGACCAATTCCAGACCACAGAGGAGAATACACGAGCCAGACTGATTGTGGCCAAGTGATGATCAATATTATGTTCCCTTGTAAAGTTGTAATCACTCTTCTCTTAACTAAGACGAATTTGTTTCAAAGAAGCGCCTTGCCGATCATCAGAACAGACGACGGCAGAGGCACTAGGAGACGGGAAATTTATCCTCGTGGATGGCAAGCAAATCGGTTAGGGTATTGGTTCAGTCCGGTTTATAATTTCCAAATGTATTTTTCGGTTCTCTTTTGGTCTCTCATATTTTTGGTTTTTTGGATTTAAATTTTCAAGATTCAAGATTTATTTTATAATGTAGTTTAACATGACAAGTCTTTGTTTAGAGATATCCAGAACAGATGTGAACTACCAGGTCCACCATCATAATTTAATAAATCTTTTTTGTTAAAATACTAATGTCGAGGAAGAAGTAAATGACAAAAAAAGTCGTCTGGATGAACAATGTTGAATAAAATTTACCCTTTCATCGATATGAGATTTGATAATTAATAGCCATAGATGCTAACTGCCCTCGTATCAAAGGAAACAAAAGAACATATACGACTCAGGGGACTTCTGGTAATAAAAAAAGAAGTCAATGTCTTGTATATTTTGTAAATCTTACTATATCTCTGTGACTGTAACCAAACATTCATCATAATCATTCATAAACCAGAAGTTTGGAAGAAGAAAATGGTACAGGTTCCCTCGCGTATCAAAGATGTGTGGGACGCATGGAACATAAGAGGAATGATAATTCTCAGTCTCTCAATTCAGACAATTCTCATCATCTTCGCTCCTTTGAGGAAAAGAACACCCAACAGGTTCCTAGTTCTGGTCATGTGGTTGTCTTATCTCTTAGCAGATTGGTCTGCAAACTTTGCAATCGGTCTCATTGCCAAGAATCAAGGAAAAGAATCAAAGCCCGAAGATCCTCCTCAGGACCAGCAGCTCATGGCTTTGTGGGCACCCTTCTTGCTTTTACATCTTGGTGGACCGGACACAATCACGGCTTACTCTCTTGAGGACAATGCTCTTTGGCACAGACACTTCCTCGGCCTTTCTTTGCAGGCTATTTCAGGTGCCTATGTGGTTATCCAGTCTCTTCCCAATACGCTTTGGGTAATCATACTGCTTTTGTTCGTTGCTGGGACCTTGAAGTATCTCGAGCGGACGATTGCTTTGTACCTCGCGAGCTCAGACAAGTTCAGGGGATCGGTTCTCAAGCTCCCTGATTCCGATTCCGATGAGACCCACCGCCAGGAGAAGGAAGAAGGCTTGATGCATCACTCTGATATATACACGCAAGGGAACGCTACACAACAGAGACCACTGAAGCTTGAAAAGCCTGATAGAGATTTGACACACCTCGATATTCTTCAGTTTGCTTTCTGGTTCTTCAACAACTTCAAGAGCCTTATGGTCAATAACATCTTTAGCTACGAGCAACGCGACGAGAGCAGGGAATTCTTCAACAAATTAAAACCCGAAGAGGCTTTGAGGATCTTAGAAATGGAGCTCGGCTTTATCTATGAAGGTCTGTACACAAAAGTCTCGGTTCTTCATACTTGGGTTGGAGCTGTGACTCGGACCATAGCTTTGGGATCTCTTCTGTCAGCATTCTGCATCTTTCATTATAGACCCAAGAAGAGCCATGAATTTCATGGAGCCGATACCGTGATCACATACACTCTGTTCTTAGTTGGAATAGCTCTGGATCTTGCATCGCTCCTCATGATAGTGCCATCGGACTGGACATTTGCTGTCATCAGTAGGCTGAACGAAGACGAGGTGGACAGCGGCTCAAGGATAGACCCACAGATCAACTGGTTCCTTGGTTTAAAGAGGCTGCAATGGAAGAAACAAGAATGCTGCGAGGGAAAAGTCCACCACAAGGTGCTTAACACGACGTTTTTACTCCAAAGATGGGCAGGAAGCATCAAGCAGTTCAACTTCATTGCGTACTCTGGGAAAGCAGATATACAGAGGATCCACGACACCAAGAGTAGAACACGTCGGTGTGTATGGAATGCCATACTTCTCATTTTCATTTACATTATCAACATCCTCAAGAAATTGTATGAAAGGATCGTCATTTGGAATCATAAGCTTCATCAGTTTATCAGAGATGTCATCAATCAGTGGTCAGGAAAGAATCCGGTAGGTCGTTATGTTATCCTCACTGTTGAATTTTGGTTCATGATACCTCACTTCTTCATGTTTATCGGCAACTACATCACCGAATATATCGGCATCAACGATCTGCTTGATCAGATCATTCTGATACGAGCTGTGCACAGTGAACCATTGACAAAAGAACTGTGGGGTTTCATATTTACTCAGCTGCAAGCTAGACTCAAGCTTCCAGACAAGGAGAGACGAAAAACAAAATCCAGAAGGAAAGGATGGGCTTCTGGCAACAGGGAATTAGAAATGGCGGATCCAGAACAGCTGATGCGTTATATAGCAGATGTTGATTATGACCGGAGCCTTATTCTGTGGCACATAGCAACTGAGCTGTGTTACCAAGAAGAAGCTTCCACTAAAGAGAATTGTGACGACCGTGAGTTCAGCAAAATGCTATCGGACTACATGATGTATCTCTTGATTATGCAGCCAAAACTGATGTCAGAGGTTGCAGGCATAGGGAAGATCAGATTTAGAGACACGCTGGCCGAAGCTGAAAGATTCTTCAAGAGGCGGCATATTGAGAACTCAAGGGATGTGGAAAGAGCATGCCGCGAGATTCGTTCGGTCAAGATAGAGATTCATCCAAGGGAAGTTAAGGGAAACCAAAGCAAATCTTTGTTGTTCGAAGCAAGGGCACTGGCCAAAGAGGTCAACAAGATGAAGGATCGTGAAGAGAACATGTGGAGAGTAGTGAGCCAAGTGTGGATGGAGTTGCTGTTCCAGGCAGCTTGCAACTGCGATGCTACGGCGCGTATGGAGCAGCTTAGCAAAGGAGGAGAGCTGATCAACTTTGTTTGGCTAGCAGTGGCTCACCTCGGCCTTGGAGTTCAGCTGAGTTCATCAGAAAACGAGACCAAACTGGATGTAAGGTAAAATGATTGAGTTTCACATATCAGTTGTCCACTGTTGCTTCGGTTTTTTATCACTATGTTGAGCTAGCTTATGTCTTTAGTAAAGCAATTGCCTGCAAACAGAGATTATCTCACGTCTCTTTTTGCAAATTTAGTCAATCAAGTTTGATATAAACATGAAGAATCGAAGATGTAGTGATTAACATCAAGCCTGATACAAATGTACTACTGTTCAGTTAAGATATGCATCGAGAAACATCAATCCTGATATCAAAATGTACAAATCACTATAGACCTCCAATTATAAACAAATACTATCACTCACAGTCATCATCAATCAAATCAGCCTAAAAGAAACCAGCAAGGTGTTCATCACTTATGAAAACATGGCGCTATCAACAGCCATATGAAAAAAAAAGAATTGAGAAGTCAATTATCAAAACTCTGTCAACTAGTTCAAACTACTTTCACCACACCTGAAGACAAAACCAAAGAACCAAATAATTCTAGTTCCAGAACATCGGTAGACTTTACCGTTAATTCGGCTATTGCGTTGGTGGGGAGATCGGATTCTCGTCACTCCCGAAATTTCCCGCCTTTTTCCGTCTCTTCATCGTTTTTTTTTTTTTAATCTTCCGATCGGCGACGAGACGGAGATAACGGGAGAAGTAGAACCATCATCGTCGTGACTAAAGGAACACGGAGAACCAAACCACTCGTTCGATATCTCTCTTCGAGAGAAACGAAGAAGCGCAGGCCCAGGTCCCATTATTGGCCCAGGGCCCAGAGGTAATTATTGTTGTTATTAAAACTTTAAAGGGTTTTTGTGAACTTTTACTGAAGAATTTCAATTTCCTCATCGCTTAATGATCCAGTTTCATTCATGAAGGAAAACAAATAAGTCCAAACGTCGAGAGCTTTATTGCGAAATGAAAAAAGTATAACTTCATACATAATAGTCAAGCCATGACCGAAACATAAACGTGAGTATAGACGAAAGAAACTCCATAGACAAGCAAGAGAGTTTTAGAAGAAGGAAAATCAACACAAGTAGTAATCAAATACTTTGGACTCTCGGGTAGTAGATGAAGATGGAAAATCAGAAGCAAAACGACGATGAGGATGATGATGGCTTCATATAACTTACATGAGTCATAAGAAAGAGTCTTCGGGCTTTAACCGGCGATTCTCCTAGAGTAGGGATTTGGAGGCTGTGTAGGTCTCAGGAACATGTCACCGCTTTCTCCAACCCACCCTGCCTTCATCGCCGGTTGCTGCTGCCTTTGACTGTGACTCCATCTTCCTCCTCCGACCGTTGCATTCGCCAGTTTATTTGCAGTCTCTGATGGCCCACGAGGAAAGACCCAATTCTTGTTCATAGACGCTGCAAAAGTCCATCATTTGAGATTTCCTTCAGATGAAATACCAAACTATGCAAACAGAAACAAAACAAAAAAATGTGATTTTTACTTACGAGGACTCTTCCTTCCAGGTGGTGGTATATACTTAGCATCTCTGACATGATAACCTCCCACAGGTTTGTTGTTCCATGCAGTGTCCTGGTTAATCTTACTACCCATGTCCAGCTTCCGCTGAGTCGCACAAGCACCAAAAGGAGGACCATTTGCCTTTGGAGTAGCGTAGCTGTTGAACGGCTTATAATTAGCATTATTGGTCACATTCGCCGGCAACCTCTTCACGGGTTGCTGCTGCTGATGCTCGAGAGACCCTCTCTGTCCAACAGAGAATTTGGGACGAAGAGATGGTGGAACATAGTAGCAACTCTGGAAGAAAGGATGCTGCAACGCCTCTGCAGCAGTCGGTCTATCCGAGGGATCCCATGAGCACAGACGCTCAATAAGGTTAACCGCTTCTGGACTAGCATACGGCATCAAGCTTGAAAGGTGTACACCAGGAAGCTGCAAGATGAACAAACACATCATTACTATTATGATCCTAAGATACTTCTATTCTCCAGAAATGTTGAAGATTCGAGCAAATTCTACCTGAGGGAATTGGTAATTGATAACGCTAGCAAGGTTAAGCCCCTCCAACCATGTCTCTTCAGTTGGGCTGCCTATCACACTGCAGATTTTATATATCTCATCTGCTTCACTGCGCCCATTAAAAGATGACATTGGCATCACGTTCGCAACATTATTTAGTCAGGGAAATTGTATTAACCAGAGCATTGACAAATACCTAGCTCCGGGAAAAAGAGGGCGAAGAGACAACAGCTCGGCCAGAATAGCGCCCATTGCCCACATATCTGAAACACAGTCAAATTTAGTCCATTGTTAAGCAACGGACTATATACACCATATTGAAAGATACTTTTATTTTGGGAATTTTGAGAACTAACCAACTTTTGACGTGTATACATATGACTGTAGCAGTACTTCAGGTGCCCTGTACCTGTTAGAAATTTAGAGCACAGACTTTAGTGGTGAGTAAGAAAGAGATATAGAATAAATCACACGTGTGCCAATTTTCTCAAGGACTCAATTCAACAGAGCAGGAAGGTGAATCTTACCAGCGTGTCGAGACATACTCTGTATAAGGTGGACTCGAATCGATCTCCCGGGCCAGGCCAAGATCAGCAATCTTAATGACATCTTTCGAGACTAAAAGATTCTCTGCATCAGAAGAAAATACACGGGTCACTGACAAAAAATTTAACTACGACTGTGGTAGAAAAACTAGAAAATTGAATCAAAACAGTCAATGTTCATCGCACATGTGCTGATGTTTATTGGTAACTTAAAGGTATCAATTACCTGGCTTAAGATCTCGGTGGAAGTATCCACGCTGATGCATGTAAGAGAGGCCTTGAAAGACTTGAGAGCACCAATTTCGGATATCAGATTCTGCAAAAAGCTTAGGGCGATCCTTCATAAGCTGGTAAAGATTGCACTCCTGGTCAAGTAAGAACATAGAATATTTAGGGCAATGAAGAAGAATAAACTATGGCAAAAAGATCAAACAAAAAGTAGTGAGAAGTATACCATGTACTCGAACACAAAGTATAGGATATCATTTTCCCGGATGACTTCCTTCAGCTTCACAATGTTTGGATGATTCATTCTGCTAAGCGACTAAAATGAGAAAATAGAGGAGTCAGCAAACATACAAGAAGAGAAACGTGTAACATTTCAGTAACGGAGATACAATACCTTCACTTCTCTCAGATTAACACATTCTTCCCAAGAGTAATACTTCTTCTTCATTTTTTTAATTGCAACCTGTCCATAGGAAACATGAGACCCCAAAAACCAAGCACAAATTGTGTATAGGAGCATTGATCTGTCAAAGAAAACAACTTACAACTTCACCCGTCTGTTTATTGATAGCTCGCCAAACATTCCCAAAAGTTCCATCACCAACTTCTTTAGTTAAATTATACCTATAGTTGCATCGGAAAGTAGACAGAAACTATAAATCAAAGGGGTCTAAAGCCAAAAATAAGAATTTGTTTTTTGTACTAAATCAAACCTACCTCTCCATAGCTTCTACGGTAAAGCAAAGTATCCCCTTTAGTTTTTGTCTGTAGCGAACTTCTGAAATATGTCTATTATCTATAATCTTCCAGTTGTTCGTATGGCAGAAAACTCAATGATTCTCCCGCGGAGCACACTGACCGTTATTTACTTTGAAAATAAAGTGGTTGACCATCAAGGCAAAAGAAAGACACCAAGAGAAGACGGAGCATATTTGAGAACCGGAAGACCCAATGAACCAACAAGAAGGAATGTTCTGGGTAACAGGAGGACACCCACGCTCACAACATTACAGTCAAGAGGTTCGGAGACTCCAGGAAAAGACTAACGAAGACATGTCAAAACTTGAAGAGAAACTTATACATCCTTCTTCAATCAGCTCCCATAAGAACCAGACACGGAATAGGGACTAACACTTTTTTTTAACTTGTTTAGATGAGATTCGAGGACTATGTGAAGGAACGATAACTTGCAGACATCAGCCCTGCACTGCCACCAACAAATTGTAAGTTTGGAGTATGTGACGTGCTTTAACTCTACCATCTATTTTTTTCCTTTTAGAGATTTCCTAAATTCTTAATAACAGTTTTTTCCTTTTTCGTTTTTTCAAATTTCCATATTCTGTATTCATACTCCAAAAAAGGTCTAATTAAAATCTGATAAAACTCATTTACAGCTAGGAGGTGTGACCAAAAAAGCCATACCTGACTCAGAAATTTGCAGGAGGAGGTGTGACCACTAAGTGCAGTTCACGAAAGAGCCAGTGAGGAAATCTGCGCGAGCAAGAAACCGCCAATCGAGTGCCTCTTGCAATGAGAAAACCCGATACTGGAAGCAGCCTGAGCAGATGTAATCTTGTTCCATATCTCAAAAGAAGCAATTCCACTAGAAACGAAGCTTATGTTACCCTGATAATGAACACAGCAGCAGAAAAAAAAAATCAATATCAGAAGCACAATCAATACGAAAGCCATATAACTCTTCACAAAACCCTGATAAAACCAAACTACAATCAATACGAAGAGATTCAAAACCATCACCAAATCTCATTTCCGGCAAAAAAAAATTAACAAAAATAATCGTCTGCCCACTTTATCTCAGATTTCAATTAAGGAAGAAATTCAAAATCCAAGAAAAAACCACAGAAGCGTAATCCTAAAATTCTAGAAAAAAGAAAAACAATTCGGATATGTCAAATTCGACTCCGTCAGATCTCAGAAACGTGATTCAAAATTTCCGATTAAAAAAAACCCAGAACCGATCGGATTGAGCGCAAACACAAAAAGGGAACATCAGAAGAAAGGGAAAATGAAAAACTAAAATCGCAATCAGTCAAATCAAAAAGATCTAATACTACCTCAAGAGCCAACAGGCATAAATTCCGTCTCCGACGACGGTAAAAGACGTTATCCAGAGCTTCTCTTTTCCCAAACTACGAATCCACCGCTCTATCTCTCTCTCTCTCTTCCTCTCTCTCCTTGCCGCGTATTTTTGTGAGGCTCGTGTGAACAATTAAAAAAAAACC